CATTTGTAATCATCAAAATTAAACGAAATAAACATTTGAAATATATGAGTTTGTATGTAATGTATGAATATAATATACAAGTTTCACTTTTTAAATGGAATTACTGAAATAAATCTACTTTTTCATGATATTCTAATTTTATGACCAGCACCTGTAGATCAGTGTTTCATTAAGGCAAAGTGTATCCAGTAACTTTAATAATAGGTTGAAGCAGTTGCTGCTACAGTTTCAACTTGAAGTTGTGTTGTTATTAAAAAACATTGGGATGGTATTAAAAAGGTATTAAAAGAAATTAAATTTAACTTGAGAATTCCTGTATATACCCTGGACACAGTTCTCTATCTTCTTCAGGGTTCAGCAGGTGTGTCCAGGACTATGAAAAGCCTCAACCCTTTATACTGTCAGATAGACTCCACCCACAATCAGCCATGTGACAAGAATCTGGATGTGAAGCGCTGCAACAAAAGTCTGCAGCCAGGTAAGTGACGCATCATGTACCTGTCCTGAGACCAGTTGTAGGTGTTTGGTGCTGGTCTGTGGGTTGACTCTGACTCTTCTCAACATCCTTCACTTCTGTTTATTGTTCAAATGTTGTAACCCTTCTTTGTGGAATTCCACAAGGCGGCTGCTTAGGTCCTGTACTTTATAGTATTTTTGTAAATTATATTTCATATGTGCCAAGTAGTGCTTCAATTGTACATGATACAACCGATTATGTATCTTCTGACTGTTTAGATTTTCATTTTCATAGAATTTTTATTTATTTTGTGAGATTTGTTATTTCTGTGACCATTGTGTGCTTTTCTTTCATTTAACGAGGGCTACCAACATTTTGTCCATGTGTGTTTTCAAAGGTCAGTCATGAAAATGAATAGAAAAATTGCAATAATTCGATATAACGCCTATCTCCTGTCAGAATAAGAAACTTGGTTTTGCAGTCAATAGTTTTGTGTTATCTTGACTGTTGTTCAGTTGTTTGGTCTTGTGTCTCACAAAAAGATGTGCACAGATGGTGCAAAATAAAGCTGCAAGATTAGTGATTGGTTGTAATTTTGGAACCAGTGTTAATTTCTTGCATGACGGGCTTGAATGTGGCCTTATTCTTTTCCTGATCTCATATATTTTATTGATTTTTCTCTTATAGGACACAACCATCTTAACGTTACAAATCAGTATTTATACACACTTGAATTCACTCACACACAAGTTTCTCAATAGTTGCTGAGTCCTTAGAGGGAAGTATTAAGTAATAGTACACTGAAAGTAAATCCCCACACAGCTCTTCTACTTTTGTTAAGGGTGAGATTTCAACAGTTTTGATGACAGTTTTTTAATTGTAAGTATTTAAAAACATGTTTTGGAGGTATTAGATGCTTTTTACATAACTTCTTCTTTTTTTAATAAAATTAGAATATGAAAAAGGTTTTGACCCGTTTTCACAGCTGCTTCTCACGTCTAACAGACATGTTTCTGATAAAAGAGCAGCTCCTGTTGTTCCCAGGACCATTTCTCACTGAACATGTTGCCTTCAGGAGTTACATTTTTAGACAATTATGATAACTTCAAAAAGAATCTGGAAAGAAATGTACTACTCAAAGTAATATTGTTTAATGAATCCATTTAGTCGTTTGAGTGTTTTTGTATGTGTAGATTGTTTTGGAGCGTCAGAGCCACTTGTCTAATTTTTGAAGTATTGAAGTTGGTTGTGTTGTTTTTTGGTTTTTGTTTTGTTTTGATTTGTGGTTCTGTTGATTGATTTGTTGAGACTTTTTATTTATAAAAGTTTTTGTTGGACTCAAGGAAGAGTTATGGGGATTGTTTTTAACTTTATTTTATTTAATCCTTTATTTTATACAGGAATAAAACTCAATGAGATTACTAATCTGATTGACAAGAGTTCCCTGGATGTTTACTAAAAAACGTCATGTTTGTGACGTGTCTTGGACCAGCTCCATTCTGACTGTTGGTTGTGTTGACAGATCATAGTGCATCATGGGAAGGATCATTCCCTCTCACTGATGATAAGGAAGAGGAAGAAGAAGATGAAGAGCTAAATGAAACAGGAGGCACTGAAGAAGAGGAGGAAAGCCCTGTAGTGAAGAGGAGGAGAGAAGACCCAGTACAGTTACCACAGGTCTGCTCTTCCTCAGTTTCTGTGTCGTCTTCATCTTCCATCGCTCCTCGGCCCAGCCCTCCTCCTGACCTCCCTGTTTGTGCCAAGAACATGTCTCTGACAGCGAGTGGAGAAAAGGTTATTCTGTGGACCAGGTGCGCCGCCTCCTTTAAAGAAACCTTCAGTTCTGCTCCTATAGGGAGCAAAGAAGAGCTTCAGCACAATAATTATTATTTTCTGTTTTAGAGAAGCTGATCGTGTTATACTGATGATGTGTCAACAAGAAGGGGCCAATCAGAACACATTTCAGATCATCTCTAGTCTGCTTGGCAACAAGAGTCCCAATGAGGTGATTGGCTGGTCGGTGTGTAGTTCCGTCATTGTTCTGTTTGTATCAGCTCTTTTGTCTCTGCAGGTGTCTCACAGGTTTCGAGATTTAATGCGACTGTTTCGGACATCAGCTCGTCACACCAGCTCAGAGGATGAAGCTCCGCCTTCTGCAGCCAATGACGCAGAAGATTGACCAGTCAGATGGACCTGTAAAAACAAGTGGATGATGGATATGTTCAATGGGAAATAAATGTAAATACAGCACTACAATGATTATTTATTGATGGAAAATTTTTAATAAATCATCTTTTGCCACATTAAATCTTTGGCCTGAACTGCTCTAGTTTGTTGCTGTTTGAATTTATCACAAGGATGAGCCATTGATTTAGAAAGTAATTTATTAAAAATTAACAAAGTTAAAAGCCTAATCATTAACCTAATGTTTCATATTTATTCAATTCACAAATTTATCTTTGAGGGGTTCATTTCAACTCAATTCAATTCAGTTTATTTATACAGCTCCAAGTCACAACACACGTTGTCTCAGGACACTGTAGATAAAAAGAACAATGTAAAGAAGAAAGCAGCAGATTGTGTTGAATCACTTCATCACAGTCTCCCATCCTGAGCAAACGGTGGAGAGGAAAAACTCCCTGCTAATCAGGAAGAAACCTCCAGCAGAACCAGGTTGTTACTCAGGTTTATGAAGGTATCTTGTTCTGTGAGTTTCTCAGCCTCCATGCTCAGTCTGTCAACATGAGGTTATAT